TCACTTAAAAATGCAATGCAACTAATATCCACAAAAATCAATTTACAGTATAATATTTTTAATTTTGCCAAAAATATTGTCTCCTTCTATTTAAATATAGGCACCATTAATTTTTTTTGTCTTTAAGGGTTAAAACAACTCTCTCTGTCTCTTATAGTCACTATTATTTTAAAGTCTGTATCTAATTTGTTTATGCAAGTTTTTTTTTTTTGTAATATTCTCAAACAACAACAACAAAGTTCTAATCATACATCTGATGTAAAATCTGTTAAGAAAATTTATAAAATATGTAAAACAAATAATAAAAATAAAAGAAATTAAAATGCATAAAATTTATATAAGACAATTTTTTTATTTTAATTTGTGAACAAATTTTTATAACCTCCACCATAGTATGGATGGTATTATTATATCATCGAAATAATCTCATTTCTAACCCTATAAAGTATATATATTCTTTATAAACGAAAAATTCTATGTCCATGTAGGCATTTCTAGCAGGCTGATCAAGTTCGAAGATGGCCTATATTCGTCCACGTTTAGGCATTGCCCCCATATAGCTAAACTGAATTAGCTGTAATTTTGTATTTTGGGTTCGTATTGGATAGGAATTATTCCTGCCAAAAAATATACTTATTTTAGGGAGATTGGTTCCATGAATATGTAACACTGTGAAGTGTTTAGTGTATATCAATTAACTGAGTCGATGTAGTCATGTGTGTCCGACAGTCCATTATTATTTGTAAACAAAGTACAAACTATAGTTATGGACCCATGGTAACGAAATTTTGCATGGTAGTCCGCCAAAGGACAGCGATATGTTAGTGCTTAGGTCGCTCTAGATGCCATAATTATGACCCGAACTTCTTGAAGTTTACGTGGGGAAGGGGTTTTCGTCAAATAGTAAGTATGAATGCTTTGATCAGGAAAAATTGCCAGTGTAAAAAGAGGAACTGTTGACATTAAATCTAATATCAATTATATTTATGAAACAGGTCCGACATTAGACAATTACTAAAATATTTTTATGGGTCTTCATATTTTCGTATTGCTTAGTATTAACATTATCACACTAGAGGGTGAAAATATTGCGCCGTCTGCTCACTGGTAAAAAATCTTCTGGAAGAACATTTTTCATTTAGGTCTTTTTTTGACATAGCCCCCATGTAAAGGCCCTGATTAACCTTGGGTGTTTGTATGATTATAGCTTCATTTACCGGGTCATTTTTTTTTTTTTTTTTTGACATAGAATAATTTGAAGTTTTGGGTTATTGAGGTATAAAATTGTTCCTGCCGTGCGTTCAGTCACTCGTTTAGGGTGGGAGTAACACTGTTTAATCCAACCTTTTGCAGTAATTGCTAGCCAAGGATTGTAACCAAATAATTGACTTTCGAAAGAAAAGTTAAAATATTACGCCATTGAAAAATTATAGAGGGAAAATAAGCTAATTTATCAGTTTTTACAAGGTCTGATAAATTTCACAACAAATTTCTTTATCAGCTGGAACCACGGCAGATGTGAGAGTGTTCTATCGTCTAGGACACAAACATTTATTGTGCTAATCCTAAGTTCAGTCAATTTGTAAATGTTCGGCCTCCTCCTGAAGTACCATGTTGTCATCTGGTAGACGAACTTGATCAGAACTTTTTTATATGTGGCTATAAAATTAGAAATTGTTGCCAGGAGAAAATGCCATACACTAAAGTTGGAAAATTGGACAATTTACCGAAAATTACTATCGAGCTTTGTATTGCGGCTATGATGAAAAAAAGACTTGAACATTTTATGGAAAAAATTTGTTTACCCAACAAGATCTTGGAATGTCCAATTATAGCTACATTGTAGTGCTAAATTATAGTACCTTCAGTGGGAAAATGCGACCAGGACCACCAAAATGCCAAAGCTACCGACATATATTTATTATTTTTGATAGGTAGATTTGGCACCAAATGAGATCTCAAAATTTAAAACGCGAGCCTACTCGGCTGAAAAATATGTCAGAAATTCACCAATCCATAGTAACGACATGTGAATGCGTAGTTTAGTACCGTTGAATCCAATTGTTTATACCGTAAACCATGAGGACAGGGACATTCAAAGTACCCAAAATCGATCGGAGTTTTCAGTGGAACTTAAACATACGCCTGACCGTTTAAAAATTGGTCAAAATACTTTTGACATACTAAAACAAAGATCGATATTGGTAATTTTTGGTAGGAATATTTGAGACCCAAGGGAAAACGAAAAATAAAATTATAGCAAATTTGCTTGATAGACGTGCCCAAACCAATCAAATACCGACATTAAAGAGGTACCGGTATTGAGGGCCAACCTATAACTGATAATGTTTAGTAAGAAGATTTGCTACTCAATATTATCCTATTTGGAGGTATATCGTAATTTCAACAAATCGATTAGTTCATTTTTTCATAAATGGAAGAAGGTTTTGACGGTTCAGTTGTTTTTGTTTTTTACTTTGGTAAAACATTTAAATAGCTTTTTAAATTGTAATATATTTAAGTTTTCTTATCAATAAGAAATATTTAAATTTAATATGAATATTTGATATTTTAAATTTAATAATAAATTACAGAAATTGTTGCCTTTATACAATGTCTAGATAATTCCGTTATTAGAGACTATTTAAAATATAGTTGCAAAAAATTGTATTTTATAGATTTTCAATGTTCAAATATAACTTATAGCATTTTAGACGATGAACATTTCGGGTCTAGATTTTGCTTGGAAGTTTTCATGTTTAAACCTTTTAGAAATCGTTTTAAATAAAATAAAATATTTTCACAGCTATTAAGGCCATGTGAACATACATTTTCGTTTATATATTTTTTAAGAGTTAAAAAAAAACTGTATATTCAATTTAAAAATAAGTAACAACTACGCTGGTTACATATGCCATTCTTTGCTACCTATGAAATAAGGTGTCTCGAGAATAAGTTCTAATAACTTCCCCAATAATGCGACAGACAGCTTTTGAATGTCTTCTTCATTGCACCATAAACCCTAAGTACTGTATAGTAATACATAAATATCTAAAATATATTTTATATAATATTTGTTAAATAAAAATAAAAAAATATATATGATTTTGTTGAATGCTTAACAATTTTTAATGGTGATATTCGAACAAATACAATTTTATATAGAAACTAGTATTTAACACATGCATACTTTATTTGTTTATTCAAAACACAAAATATATGTATTATTTATGTATGTACAAAAAATACAAATATTTATTTTAATTAAAAAAAAAACTTAATTATTTTAACTAGCAGTAAACATTACCAAAGACAAATTCTGCAGCTAATCAAATAAAGGAAGAAAAAAACGAAATACACGCTGATAAATTATAGTAATTATTATTATTATTACAAACAAATATTGACAAGTTTACGACTAACAAGGCGTGGATTTTTTAAAGAATATTTTTTCAAGGGACTAACAAGGCGTGGATTTTTTAAAGAATATTTTTTCAAGGGACTAACAAGGCGTGGATTTTTTAAAGAATATTTTTTCAATGGACTAACAAGGCGTGGATTTTTTAAAGAATATTTTTTCAAGGGACTAACAAGGCGTGGATTTTTTAAAGAATATTTTTTCAAGGGACTAACAAGGCGTGGATTTTTTAAAGAATATTTTTTCAAGGGACTAACAAGGCGTGGATTTTTTAAAGAATATTTTTTCTCAAGGGACTAACAAGGCGTGGATTTTTTAAAGAATATTTTTTCAAGGGACTAACAAGGCGTGGATTTTTTAAAGAATATTTTTTCATAGACTAACAAGGCGTGGATTTTTTAAAGAATATTTTTTCATAGACTAACAAGGCGTGGATTTTTTAAAGAATATTTTTTTTAACAAGGCGTGGATTTTTTAAAGAATATTTTTTCATAGACTAACAAGGCGTGGATTTTTTAAAGAATATTTTTTCATAGACTAACAAGGCGTGAATTTTTTAAAGAATATTTTTTCAAGACTAACAAGGCGTGGATTTTTTAAAGAATATTTTTTCATAGACTAACAAGGCGTGGATTTTTTAAAGAATATTTTTTCATAGACTAACAAGGCGTGGATTTTTTAAAGAATATTTTTTAATAGACTAACAAGGCGTGGATTTTTTAAAGAATATTTTTTCATAGACTAACAAGGCGTGGATTTTTTAAAGAATATTTTTTCATAGACTAACAAGGCGTGGATTTTTTAAAGAATATTTTTTCATAGACTAACAAGGCGTGGATTTTTTAAAGAATATTTTTTCATAGACTAACAAGGCGTGGATTTTTTAAAGAATATTTTTTCATAGACTAACAAGTCGTGGATTTTTTAAAGAATATTTTTTCATAGACTAACAAGTAGACTAACAAGGCGTGGATTTTTTAAAGAATATTTTTTTCATAGACAAAAAGGGCATGGATATTTTAAAGAATATTTTTTTCATAGACTAACAAGGCGTGGATTTTTTAAACAATATTTTTTCAACAACCTTACAAGGCATGGATTTTTTAAAGAATATTTTTTCAACAACCTTACAAGACATGGATTTTTTAAAGAATATTTTTTCATTGATTTTTTAAAGAATATTTTTTCAACAACCTTACAAGACATGGATTTTTTAAAGAATATTTTTTCAACAACCTTACAAGGCATGGCTTTTTTAAAGGATATTTTTTAAAAGACAATGTTTTGCATATAATCATTTTATTTATTTACATTTTATAAAAAAAATAGTAATTATATTTTATTTGTTTACTAACTTAAAGACAATTTTAATCATTATACATTGGCATATCACGTATGCCCAGTTGTTTTTTTTTTTGAATATTTAGAAAAAATATATTATATAATACATATGAAAATAATAAAGCTATAATCACAATGACCAATTAGGACCAAACAGACTACAAATAAAAATAATTTCCGCACAACATTTACCAAAAAATTGTTAAATTTTGTTAATTTTTTAATTTGCTTCTTCTTCGTAAGTGTGTATTTTTACACGGGGAACAATTCATTGTATGTGAAATTTTCAATAATTTTACGTGATATAGCTAAGAATTTCTTCTCTAAAGCCCGTTCAATGGGTCCAATCAGCTCATTTGTAAATACTTCGAAATTTTGATTGATGGTATCGTTGACAACATCACCCAAGGCCTTGTCACCATTGAAGAGATTCTCCAGACGGATACGTCCCTTGCCGGTGCGAATTTTCACTTCCAAATTATTGATTTGTAGATATTCTTCACCATTCACTACCTTGACATCGAAAAGGATTTTCACAAAGGCATAAAAGTTGGCTAAATTAAAAAAAAAGATTTTTTTTATAATTTCAGAATTTTAAATTTGAGGCTCCAAACATACTGAAATTGCCGGTAAAAGGTCCATTGCCTCGCAGTGGTAGTGTTAAAATTTGACCATTGATGTCGTAATTGCCTTCTCCCTGCAAACGTGGTAGATTTATTTCGAAATCGTAGCGCATGCCATTATTGGAGTTTCTGGAATAAGAAAAATAATTCAAGGCGTAAATTTCTGTTCTGAATTTATAAAAAATATTTTTTGAGATACTAAGATGCCAATATTTTTTCAAAGAATACCAAGTCCTGGATTAAAAATTTTTTTTTTTTTGAAAGAATACAAAGGAGTGGATTTTTAAAAAGTATTTTTTAAAAAATATATAAAGTCGTGGATTTCTTAAAAATTCTGTTTTTCAACGAATACCAATGCGTCTTTTAAAAAATACTTTTTTTCAAAGAATACCAAGGCGTGGTTTTTTTGAAATATATTTTTTCAGAGGATTTTTAAAAATATTATTTTTTCAAAGAATAGCAAAACGTGGATGTACTGCTTTTTTAAAAAAAAATATTTTTTTCAAAGAATAGCAAGGCGTGGATGCACTGATTTAAAAAAATATATTTTTTCAAAGAATAGCAATTCGTGGAGACACTGATTTTTTCAAAAAATATTTTTCCAAAGAATACCAGGGCGTGATTTTTTAGAATTTATTTTTTTCAGGGAATACCAAGGCGTGGATTTTTTAAAAAATATTTTTTCGAAGAATAGCAAGGCGTGGATGCACTGCTTTTTTTAAAAAAAAATATTTTTTCAAAGAATACCTAGGCATGGATGCACTGATTTTTAAAAAAAATATTTTTCAAAGAATACCTAGGCGTGGATGCACTGATTTTTAAAAAAGAAATATTTTTTAAAGAATACCTAGGCGTAGATGCACTGATTTAAAAAAAACCAGTAAGGAAAGTAGTAAAGTCCGACGGGGCCGACTATATGATACCCTTCACCACTATGGGTATATTAAACAGGACTATTAACATGAAATTGGATGAAATAAAATATGTGATATTTATCTAAATGTGAATCTACCTAGATCAATCCATAAATTACGTAAATCGACTTCAAACAAATATAAATAGGTCATCCGTTGGGCTAAGTCTGTACTTCTACAAAACGCAACTACGTAATTCTATGCTCAATTTTGTACGTTGTGCAAAATTTGATGTCAATTTGACTAACATGAGCACTTTGATGCCCAATTTACTTGAAATCGGGGGAAAATATATATGGAAGCTCTATACAAATATTAAGCGATTTCAAACAAACTTGTCCCAGGTTAGGTTATACTAATTTCAGAACGTTTTGTTCCTATCAGCCTATTGGTTCCTTGGTGCGTCAATTACTTAAAATCAATATATAATAAAAGGGAGCTATATCTAAATCTGGACCGATTTTCACGAAACAAGGCAGACATCACTCTAGGCTCAATTCAAATTTTATGCAAATCGAAAGATATAGAGGGACTTTGGTGCCCCATTTACCTTAAATCGGACGAAAATATATATGGGAGCTATATCTAAATCTGAACCGATTTTTCCCAATTTCAATAGGGTTCGTCCTTGGGCCAAAGAAGTGACTTGTGCCAAATTTTATCCAAATCGGATTATAAATGCGACCTGTACTTTGTTTACAATTTAACATCTACAGACGGACAGACGGACGGACGGACGGACATGCATAAATCGACTCAGAAAGTGATTCTATGCATATTCTCAAAAGGAACCATGTGTCTATCTCGTTTCCTTTTGCCTGTTACAAACATATGCACAAAGACATAATACCCTGTACCACAGAGTGGTGAAGGGTATAATAATTTTCAACCTATGGTGGAGATTATAAAAAGTTTGTCCCGCCAGAACTTAATGACTTTTTACTTGTTCAGTTATTAGATCTCCATAATGATGGTGGCCGACTGTTAAATATTAAGATCTGATAGGTTTAGATATTATTATCAATCGGATTATATTCGATACTTAATAATCTTCATATGAAATGAGGGTCATGGCGGGTTATTTGGGATACAATCTGTATTTTGTTTTTGCAAAATAGTCAGGCTGAATTCCAGGCGTGGATGCACTGATTTTTTTAAAAAAATATTTTTAAAAGAATACCTAGCCGTGCGACAAAATTAAATGTAAATATTTTTTCAACAAATATCATTGCGAAGAATTTTTTTAAAATCAGTATAGTGTGTGGGGGTCATAACAAGGCATGCATTTTTTAAGGATTGATTTGTCGACAACTATAAATTGAGGACTTTTAGAAAAACATTTTTTAAATCGCTGACTTTTATTTTTTTTAAATCGTGGACTTTTAATAGTTTTTTTTAAATCGTAGACATATAAAAAATCTTGGATATTTTAAAAATATTTCTATGTGGCTTACTTCAGTTTCTTAATTTCAAAATTCGATGCTCCATAGATGTTCAAATCTTTCGCCTTAACATTAATACCCGCACTGCCACCTTCCAAGATATTGAGATCACCGATGAAAAGCGGCTCCATGGCGGGGACATTCAATTCTTTGATACCATCCTTGAGGTAGGGTCGCATATCGTGAACAGTATTCTTAATACATTCGTTTATCTTTGGATCATTGCGAGAGCAAACCTTAATGTAGTCAGCTGGAGGAAGGAAATGAAACAACAACAAAATTCAAATAAAAAAACAATAATTATGATGTTAGCTCTTCGAAAAAATTAAAATGTGAATTTTTTCTCAAAAACAACTCGGTCTAAAAATTACTGCCTACTAATATCAGTTTTCACTGTAGACGTTTTTTTTAATTACGATGTTTATAATTCTATATTATTAAAACTTACGCATTGTGACACCACAAATAGTTGTCGTCATTTGAGCAATGATCAGAAACAATGCAACGGTTGCTAGTGTTGACTTCATCTTGACTTAGTGTTGAGGAGTGGCGTTTCGTGTGACTATAATTAAAAAAAAATGGTTGTAAAATATAGAATTATTATCTTAATTATTTTTTATCGATTAGATTTTCATCACTCTTTATAAAGTGTTAATTTGAAATGGGCAACAAACTTCTATTCAAATTAATGTCAGATTATTACTATCATCCATTTATCGGTTTAATGGGAAAACGAACGAACGAACACTGGCAGTCATTAAATTTAATTACTTTTGTTTCATTTCTATTCACAATTGTAGTAGAACACTGAATTGATCTTGCAAAACACTTCCCAGTACAATAAACGTGATAAGCATGCGAATTTTCCCATCAACACTTTCTTTAATTGTTTTCTTTTGTTGGTTTTGGTTTACTGAATTGTTGGAATTTGATTTACTGAATTTTTTGATTTTGTGCCAATTTTTATATTCACTTCCTTTCTAATAGAGGAGAATTATAATTTATTTATACTGAATATTTATTATTAATAATAAGCATATAATTTATATGAGGAATTTGTTGCAAAACAAAAGACTTAAGAAACAAACTTTTCTACCGAAAGTGAAAGGGAGGTATCAAGAAAATTTACTCCACAAACATAATAAAGTTTCGAAGATATTGAAGTAGGCTACAATCCATATTTTATGCCAATAATATTATGTTACACATTTCATAGCCACCGCGAAGCAAGTTCAAGACTAATTAGGTAAAGTTCGAAACTGGCACAACTATGACATTCTAAATACTGAATACCAACAAACTAACGGAGACAATAGTCAAAAAGTTGCCCTCTTCGATAGAGGAAATCTGCCTTTGAAATATCCTGGATCCGTTGACTTTACAATAGAGCACTCAGCGAAGAATAAACGTAGGGTCTTTGGCGCACCATTACATAAAATCAGATGAAAATATATTTTTTTTTCATCCTCGAGCGGAATGCATTCAAAAATGCCTTAAATCTCCTGGATGTTTATATGTAATAAGTTCTTTAGGCTCTGAGAAAATAAAATACAAAATGACAAAGACTCAGGTTGGAAAACTGGGCTAGAAACGTCAACGTAGCGAAAATAAGTGTGACCATTATACGGGCTCTATTAAATAACAAGGATCTGTATTGGTATAGGAAATTCAAAATTGCGGTCACATCGGTGGGAAATTCGGTTAAAGCTTTCAAAATACCGAAAATATGGCGGATACTATGCCGAAAACGAATGTATATTGGATTTTTTTAAAGCTTAGGTTGGGAAATTCGTCTAAAACTTTCAAAATACCAAAAATGGACGGGGCCTTTATAGGTCTATGTAAAAATGTGGATCTATATTGAAAGATGTTGCAAAGATGTTTATACCTCTCCGAAAACCCGATCGTTACAAGCGATATTAAATATATGGCACACATTTTTTATTCGTAATTTTTGGATTTCGTGATGTCGTTATAAATAATTTTGACTGTACTTTGATTGGAAAATGCTGCCAAAAAAGGTTAACATACCGAAAATTGCCTTGGATTACGTATAGGAGCTATGTCAAAACGTAGAGCGATTCTTCTGCGCTTAAAACCTTCATAATACCTAAAATGTCGTGGTACAATTATAAACATGGACCTATATTGCTATTTTTCAGCATAAATGTATAGCCTGATATTGGATTTATAAATATTGAAAATTTTGACCGTCTGTGGGGGAGGTACCAGAAGGAGTGGACCAATAGATTCCATCTTCAAACTTGATGTAAGTTTGATAAAGGTAAGAGCTTGTGCAAAGTTTGGTTCAAATCATTTCATTCGCTTGATTTTGGATTTATAAATATTGAAATTATTGTGGAAATATCGGTCTACTCCTTCTGGTAACCCCCTTAGAAGGAGTGGACCGTTATTTCCCATCTTCGAACTTAAACTAAGTTTGGGAGAAATATCAAGATGTGCAAGGTTTGGATGAAATCGATTATTCCCTTCAAGAGTTATCGAAATTTTCTGAAACGGAATTGGTCCAAAGAAACACGTGGTCTAAAACCAATATTTCGAGGAGGCACATTCACACCGTATCAAAGTGTATATACCCTCATTAGCCATAAGGCAACATGATTTCCTGGAGTTTTTAATTTAAATATTAGTTGATCAGATGACATTCTACATAGAAAATTTGTAATGTTCGACTTATCATTGTGGCGTTTAGAGCGACCAGAAAGCCAGACAAAAAGAAATTTTTCAGCTCTCTAGTGCGGTAATGGTAATACTTCAGGAGTAAACACAAAAGTCTGGATCGATAACTATAACTTTCACATCTAAGCACAATAAAATTGGTATCAATTGAAAGATCAGTAATTCCTCTTGGATATACCAACAACTTCTACGGTATATGTTCTTCAGGTGTAAATATATGCGCCAGGGAATGTAAATTTTGTCGTTCACACAAAAAATCTTCGCCCATTTGACCCACTAAATATCCGATCTCCATCAAAACGATCATGCGTATCCTTTGGCTAAATCCTCTTCGCATGTAAAATTTCGCGGCGCTCGGTTCCTCTAGATCGACAAAAAACCACTTCATACCCTAAATATTAACGGATGATGGGTGCCACAACAAGACCTCATTCATCGTGACGATTCGTCTATAACTGTGGCCTATATCGTGCCGGACACACATGTCTAGATCGACTCAGCTCGTCGAGATATGACAATCGGTATACTAAAAGGAGGGTCTAGCACCAATATTTCGCGAAATTACAAACTCTTGGGCCATGTATATTTTGCGTAATTTAATTTGACTCATAAAAGGCGAATATTTTCCAAAAAGTGCATACGATTTTAACGCGCATCTGATTTCGGTGTACACCCTTAAAAATACATTCATCTATACCTATTTCAATGCGTAACATCAGGAACCGTGGATGTAGTAACGCACACTATATTTGTAATGAATTGGATACCGCTCGCTTGTGGCTAAATATTTTGAAGTTCTGTTTTCACAAAAGTTAAAAATCCATATCAGGTCATATATTGAAGATCGAATGATCCACAGAGACAGCAATTATATCCGCGATATTTCAGAAACATTTTCCCTAATTTAGTGTTTCTAGCAGGCCAGTTCCCACCGATCGAGTAGGAGGAAAAGTCGAATGAAAACAGTATAATTTGGTTGTCCGTTATGATACCAGGGATCTTTGTAAATGTTTATACCCTACACAACTATGTTGGCAGGGTATTATAGCTTTGTACAGTACCAAGAGTTTGTAACGCCGCGAAATATTGGTCCTAGATCCACCTTTAAATATACCGATCGTCATATCTCGACTAGCTGAGTCGATCTAGACATGTGTGTCCGTCCGTCTGTCCATTATAATTTGTAAACACGATACAGCCCACAGTTATGGACCAATCTTCACGAAATTTTGCATGTAGGATGGGTTCTGTCCAATGAAGACCCCTATTGTTTATGGTAAAGATGGGTTAATATTTAGGGGATGAAATGGACAAAATACTTAATTTTTGTCGGTTTTTCTGGTCGCTCCAGAGGCCGTAATTATGATCCAAACATCGCGAATTTTTACATGGAGAAGGGGATTGGGCCAAAGAATAAGTATGTCAGTTTTGATAAAGATTGGTTAATATTTAGCGGGTCAAATGGACCCCAACTTTTGTGTGAGAAAATACAAATTTTGTATTCTATGGCGTATATATTTGCCCCTGAAGGACATTGACCCGAGAAGTTGATAGTATGTTCAAGAGGAGTGGTTGACATTTAAATTGACACCAATTATATGGTCGTATGTTATATGGTCGTATGTACTCAGATGTGGGAGTTACACTTAAATATTTACAGGTGCTTACGTACTGAGATATTTTTGGTACCACACTAGAGGGCGGAAATATAGCGCAGATTGCTTTGGAAATTTCCATGAGATTCCAGTTGTGGTCAAGGACAACGCCTATAATTTACGGTGATGATCAGATAATAATATTGGGATGAAGTGGACTGAAAACATATTTTTTTCAAGTTGATCTATAAGCCACAATTGAAAGCCGAACATCACAAAACAACCAATTGTGAAGGGAAACTGGACAAGTAATTACAAGGACTGTACTGAATATTAATAATATTTGCAAAATTTGCCAGTGTAAGGAAGAGGTTCTATTGACCTCTAATCGGGCAAGGGAGTGCAAATATCACGAAATATTGGAATAAACATCTGCAAAGAAATAGAATTCCGTGGTACTTGTGTAGGCTATCCTATGGTTGGCCCCGTCCGACTATACTGCTCCGCTCACTATTTTTTTTTTAATTTCTTAAAATCGAATTCTTCAATCACTTCAGTCGTCAACAAAATTATGACGAAGAAATCTTCGACATCGTCGTCGTCACACTTTGTTAACTTTGTCAATAATGTTTCAATAGTCCTCGATAAATGTCGATAACGACATGGGGAATACAAATTTGCAAAATACGACTCTCTACGACGTCGTTTTGTGTCGACGACAACATACGGAATAGGGGCGTATATTTCATATAAAAGCCAGTAAGGAAAGTAGTAAAATCGGACGGGCCGACTATATGATACCCTTCACCACTTTGGGTATATTCAACAGATTAATCCTAATAGACGTCGCATTTTTAAAGGACCAGTAAAATGAAATTGGATCAATAAACATATCATTCTGCAATCGATACTAAATTTTTCATTTGTTCAGATAGAGAAGCTATATCTAAATCTGAACCGATTTCAGGAAACTTAATACACATCATTCTAGACCTAGTTCATTACGCTGTGCCAAATATCGTGCAAACCGAATGATATTAAGGGACTTTGGTACACCATTTACCTTAAATCGGACGGAAATATATATGGGAGCTATATCTAAGTCTTAATCGATTTTCAGGAAACTTAACACACATCATTCTAGACCTAATTCATTACGCTGTGCCAAATTTCGTGCAAATCGAGAGACCATTTTATTAAATCGGACGAAAATATATATGGGAGCTATATCTAAAT